CACCAAGGAGGGCGAAAACAGGCTCTCAAAGTGGCTCTGTCTGTCGTTCTGTCTGCCCGTCTCGGGAAAGCTGGAAAACTGGCCAACGGAACCACGTCCACCTCGCGCTGCCCCAGCAAGCGCCCGCCGCCTTTATTCTTTCCCATCTCAGTGACGCTCAGCACTGATTACAAAGTGCCTCAGCTGGTAATATGTTCGCTTCATTTTTTTTTGAATGTGTGTTTTATTCAGTTCACAGATGAATCCAATTAGCATATCACTGTGACTGATTAAATATGCCTCGTGTAAATTTACATGTCAAAATACACGCTGTACTTAAACACGTAGGCCCGGCCGCCAGGCCTCTGTAAACAGCTTAGCAGGCTCGGCCAGCTTGAAACACAAAAGCGAAGATGAGAATGTGCGGCGACTACCTGGTACGGGGGGCCGAGAGAAAAGGTGCGTTCCTCATGCATGAGGGGAGGGAGTGAATATAGACATTTGTCTCTCTTTGTCACTGAAGGGAAGCCATTGACAAGGGGTCCCCATCTGCATAGGAGGCTGCCACATCCAATTAGCTCATCAGGTGATGGAAATTTGGCCTCTGATCCAGAAAAGTCCCTGTGCACTAAAGTCAGGACTGTTTCAAAGAGATTATATTATCTTAGACAGCAGGATTAAATTAATATGGCAATGCCTTCTACTGGAGGAAATGTTTTGTGAAACATGTGCTAATGTTTATTATGCATGGCATTTCCATCACAAGTCATCTTCTTTGATGTTCTATTCATTTGTTGATTGCTTTCCGACTTTCTCTTTAGAAGGGAGCAAAGAAACCCATGTATGAAAATTGGATTGTGAAAGTTAAAGAAAGACAGAAAGCATTAATTAGATTCTTCTAGAAGCAGAGACTACTGGTTTTGTGGGTTATTGGGGGAAATTCTTAAGATAATAAAATAAAATTAAGAGTGGTTTGGCTACCAAGAGCATCAGCACCAAAGGCACCTGGCCTCCTGGGGACCACTGAGTCCCTGCCATGTGGAAGGGAGAGGGTGCGGCCACCGCTTTGCCTCATGGAGGCCATGGAGGAGCACCCTTCAGACCCCAGAGAGGGGAGAGGGTGTGGCCACTGCTTTGCCTCATGGAGGCCATGGAGGAGCACCCTTCAGACCCCAGAGAGGGGAGAGGGTGCGGCCACTGCTTTGCCTCATGGAGGCCATGGAGGAGCGCCCTTCAGACCCCAGAGAGGGGAGAGGGTGTGGCCACCGCTTTGCCTCATGGAGGCCATGGAGGAGCGCCCTTCAGACCCCAGAGAGGGGAGAGGGTGCGGCCACTGCTTTGCCTCATGGAGGCCATGGAGGAGCGCCCTTCAGACCCCGGAGAGGGGAGAGGGTGCGGCCACTGCTTTGCCTCGTGGGGGCCATGGAGGAGCGCCCTTCAGACCCCGGAGAGGGGAGAGGGTGTGGCCACTGCTTTGCCTCGTGGGGGTCGCAGAAGAGCTCCCTTTGGATGTCCCAGAGATGCCTGGCCACAGCTCCCAGCTCCTCAGGGTCCAGCTTGTTCCCTCGAGGCCAGGCTTCACCCGGGCTGCCCCCAGCCTAGAACAAAACTTCCTGGACTACAGGACCTGCCCTCCCTGGCCAGGGCAGCCCTTCTGTGATCTGCGCCTCGGGGGCTCCTGCCGGGGTCCGAGGCTCTGCCACCTTCTTCTGGCCCAGGCTGCCCCCATCGATCCTACCCTAGGTCTGCTTCCCAAGCATCCAGCGGGCATGTCCCCCAGAAGCACAATGAGTCCTGCCCTTTCGCCACTGTCTGTCTTAGTCCTGGGAGAGGATATTTTTATTTCGAATAATGTCAATAAAAGTGATTTTCATAAACTAACCTGGAGCAATTTTTATGGCTAGGGAGACACAGGCTTGCCTGGGAATTTCTGAGTGCACCTTCACGGCTGGGCCATGCTGCATCATGGAACTAAAAGGGGCTTTAAAAACACCTGACCCTGCAGGAAAATCTCACAACTGGAGCAGACGAGCCGCAGTGACTGAGGGAGAAACATGAGCTGGGTGAAAAACGAGGGCGCATGGGCGACACCGGAGGGGCCTGGCATCCTCCCACAGCAGAGCGGATGCCGACGTGGCTCTGCCTGTTTAACACACAGCTGAAGATCGCAGGAAAGGGGTAAACCTCGAGGCAAAGAAGAAAAAGAAAAATCATTCAGGACCTACTTGAGCTGCTGAGATCAGTTACGGGAAATTCTGAAGAGGAATGAACAGTGTGACGACACGGAAACAGATCTTCCTGGTACGTTTTATACGACACATAAAGAGGTTACATGGGTTTAATGTGGTGGAAGGAGATGTATTTAAACGTGGCAGGCATGTCCCCGAAGCTGTGTGGAAACAAGCCTCTTTTCGGTGAAGCTACGGGCGACCACTGTGGAGGTTGCAGGGACCCTGGGCAGCATGGGGCCCTAGAGAGAAGTCACTGAAAGAGGTTTTGGCTAAAAGAGAATATTCTGCTTTAGGGCCCATGTGAAGCAGGAGTGTGCCCGTGGGTGTGACATAAAGACAGCTCTCAGACATTTTTCCACTTGGGCCGATGAGACTGTGCTCTCGTCCTGAGACCAAGAGGAAGCCTGCTGAAGTCCGGCAGCGGGACGGAGTGAGGGGACGGCCCACGCTCCTCAGGAAGGAAAGGACACGCCCCTTCTGCAGACACCTGTGTGCTGGGAGGGAGGACAGAGGAAGGAAAACAGGCATTTATGGGTCCTTCTTGTCTGCGTTCTTGTCTGTGAGTTGAGTCTATAAAATATGCTGTGAGATTGTTTTCTGCGGTTGATTATTCATGCAACAAACACGTCAGAGCACCTTCAGGTGGCCCGTGGGTGAGGCCTCGCAGGGGCAGCCCTCCTCTGCAGAATCTGGCTACCATGAGAGGCCCCTTGGTGGGTCCAGTGATGAGGGTGCACGCACCTCTCTGCCCATCCCACACTTCTACACGGCTGCTCCCAGGCACCACAGCCTACCCCAAAGCGAGTCCTGCCCGCAGTGTGCCCCGCAGCGCCATCAGCCCACCTTCCATGATTGCAGCGGACGTGCCTGGGGGCACAGGCGCCATTTATTCCTGACTCTTTCCCTCTGACCAACCCATCACCAGATTCCACTGCTGACACCTCCAAGACACCCACAGACTCTGCAGCCCGCATGCCGGTGCCCGAGGTCAGGCCAGTGGCTCCTGCCTGCTCCCTGTCCTTCATGCTCTGCCCAGTGGTTCCAGACCCCACTGCCCTGTGGAGAGTCTGGGCCTGGGCCCTTCCTCTCAGGTTGGTTCCTGCTGCTCTCTTCAGCCTGGGATCTTCGGAGGCTCCCGCTCTGCTCTGACACACATCTTCCTCACACGCTCCCTCCACCTGGACGCTCTTCCTCCCTTTGTTTTGGCCTCAGTAACTCCCTCAGGTCCTGCGAATCTCACCTCACTGGTCACCTCCGCCGAGGAGTGTCACCCTGTCCCTGGGCAAGGTCAGCTCTCCTTAGTGGACGCCCTGCAAACAGAGCCATTGCAGTGTGACCACCCAAGCGCTCCCCTTGACCTCACCCAGAGACTGGGAGGAGGGGACACAGCTGGCTTGCTTTGTCCCCAGGGGGGTGGCAGGCACCGGACTCAGTGTTTAAACAGTGGGTGCTCTCTCAGCCCTCCCGTGAACCCGGGGAAAGTGCTGGGAAAAACACATTTGTAAAAGTCACCCTTGTGTGCATTTGTCAGCAGAACGGAATACTTCCATATGCCCGGGTTTAGGACGGGCATGAGCAGCCCCTGAAGGGCCACAGCAGACCGCTCTCCACAAAGCCCAGTCGGCTGCTGGCGCAGAACTGCGCTGGGCCCCTGCTGACGCTTCTAGTGTCCGGGGAGAGCTATTTCTTATAGCTACATTTTGCCAACGCTGCTTCTGAGTGATTCTTTTTCAGTGCCTACAATCGACACAGCAGAACAGCAGCTCTCCCTGGCAGTGCCTCTTGCTGACCCCCTGGAGTCCTTACACTGCTCTTTACGTCCCACGCATCAGCGCAGGTCAGAGGATGGTGAGTGTCTGCCACACGGTGAAAGCAGGTGCCCCTGTGCTGCCCACATCAGGCCGTGCTCCGCTCACCAGCATCCCAGGTTCACAACGTTACTCTTATCTGATGATCAGGCTCCTTGGATGTGTCCGTCAAGCTTTTAAAATTCACAAACAAAAACCAAAGGTGCACCAGACCCATCCAGCAGCCCCGAGGGCACGCCCTGCACGGTTATTGGCAAGTCAGGGCACCTGCCAGCTCCCAATTCCACTCAGAGCCCGCGGGCATGGGAGCATCTATCATCAGTCCTTCTCAATTCTATTTTACGATAAACACAGAATTGACCCTTAACCCGCCTTTCACGTGTGTTTGCTTTTTCCTACGGTGCCTGCCCAGCCGCTCTGCCTCTCAGCAACCACAGAATGAACCAGAAACTTTGCTCTTCCGCTGTGCCCACAGGCAACTGTTCAAATCTCCTGACAGCCTCACACGGGTTCTGCTCGGATCATCAACTTGAGGAAAACATGATTTGAGATGAACTTCCACCTTCCAGGCAGCACAGCCAATGACGACAATCTCTTCTCCAGGACAAGCATTTGGGTTTCATGACCCAGCCACACCCTGCAGCACAGGCCCAGGCCGAGCAGGCAGACCTGAGAAACAGCCCACAGCCTCACCTGCCGGCTCCACGACAGTCAGCTCTGGGTTCTTCCCTGGTCTGTGTTTGAGAAATACACGTAACACAAACCTGGAATGAGGGTGCCGTGGGCTGCAGTGGGACAGGCGGACAGAGGGCCACCCTCCCCTCCCGAGCAGAGGGAAGGGGACACATGGAGCCCCCCTAGAGAGTCCAGGGTCTGCTTCTCTATGAGGAAAAGCCCCACAGCAAAGTCTCCAACAACCCAGCCTCGGCACCCCTGCCGCTCCCCACAGCTCCTCAGTGCGACTGCCTGGGGACCCCGTCGCTCCCCACAGCTCCTCAACACAGCTGGGACCCCTCATCTGCCTCCGTCAGCCACATCCACGTGCACGAGGTCCACACTGGTGGCGAGACCACGGCTGGAAAGACAGGCAGCAAAAGAGGAATGCTGGCCGTGAAGAAGTTAAAGTCCTTGGATCTGGGGATGACATGTTATCTGTTTTCCTTGTTTCCTGCTAATCTGATTAATGGGAAAGTCTCCCTCCCCATTACCCATATAAAGAATCTTCCTTAGTTGCTGGCTTTACAAATAATTATCTAGAAATAAACAAGTACAACGATCTATGACACATCGATCTGTATAAGGAAGAGTTTTCTTTTCTTTCATGAAGACCCAGCCACTTACTACAGACCCTCTGTCTCCGTCTGCACAGCCACACGTCACCGCAGGGTAGAAGCGCCCCCGTCTCCCGAGAGACCCCCGCAGCTGCCATCACAGGTCTCGCCGTCTCGCCGTGCATGCGTGTGACCAGCCTTCTCCTGAGCTCCCACGGCTGTGGCCACGCCGCTCCACCTCAGCCCGTTGGCGCGTGGCCACTCTGTCTGCACCTTCACGAGGTGACTCCCTCTTCTTCCAAGGACACAGTCACGTTGGATTGGGACCCACCCTCAAGTCTGACCACCTCTTAATGACATTTCAATGATCCCATTTCCAAACAAGGCCACGTCCACAGACAGCAGGGTCAGGTCTTGACCATGACTTTGTGGAGGACTCACTATCCCCACAGCAGGCGGCACCCAGTTGTGGTTTACGGAGCCTCCACCGCACACCAGGCAGTCTGCTGGAGACATCACACTCATTACCTTAGTATATTTATGAATATGGACGGTTTTGCAAAGTGAGGCACAGTATGGAGAGAGGCTGAGCCAGCCTTGCTAAAAGCACAGACTGAAGGGACTGGAGTAGGGCCTGCCAAGGCATTTTGTGTGAATGGAAAGTTTCCTCTATTAAGTTATTTACGAAGTGAGCTTGTATCAAGGCTGAGCTTTCAGCGAAGAATTCATAAGCTTCATTTCTTTCAAAACCTGCTACCAAACTGACATTTCCTTAAATCAAACTGACCTTCCACAATACAGAATAAATCAGGTAGTTTAACTCCACTGACTAAAGCGTGTTTTCCCCAGCCCTGAGACAGGTGGCTTTGTCCCCGTGGCTCAGGCACTGGCTCGGTGAAGTGTGGTTGTGGCAGAGCGGGCGGCCGGCAGCAGTGACTGATTACCATCATCCGTGGGATGCATCACAAATTAAAGGGGCAAGCCCAGCCAAGCTGCACTGCTCAGAGACTGTGGGTCCCACCTCTACAATTACTGACGCACACAGAGGACCTGGGGGCCACGTGAAACAATGGAGGAGTGAATCCACACAGGGAGGAGCCACAGGCATAGGCCCCATGCACCTGACAGTGGCCACACAAGACGCCTGCCCAGACACTCGTTCTGGGGGAACCTCTCCTGTCCACATGCTGCTGTGGCTGAGACCCCAGGCAACACACGGGTGCTCAGCAGAGAGATGGACTGTCCTGCCAACACGTGGGGCACTCAACCCTCATTCAGGAGAGACCGGCCACCGCTGTGGCCCATGGGGCCGCAGCATAAACAGTCGTGGTGGAGAAGTGGCATCCACAATCACACGTGTTTTCCACGAGCACTCTGGCTGTGGACAGAGGGAGCCTGTGGCTCCAGGGGTTGTGGTTTAAGCACTGCCACCCGTGGTCCAAGAGCTGTAGGTGAGAGGCGACGGGGACGCCCTCCTCGTTTGTCCCCAGGACCACACCTGAAGGGCTGACACTGATCCTGATGAGCAGTCTGTTCACCTGCCAAAGCATGAAGATGAACCTCACACGGGCCATTCAGGGCACAAGGCAGCCGGTGACAGGGCCCTCCGATCCCTGCAGAAGCACCTAACAGCACTGAGTGACTCAAGGCAAGAAAGGACACAGGCCAGTCCGACAGCTGCTCCCTAGACAGACGAGTGCCCAAGCACGGTGTCCCACGAGGGCAGAGCTGGGCATGAGCACGGCCACCACCCACCCCCGTCAGAGCGACCTCATTTCACGGGGTGAGCATCTCAGCCTCGGTACGGAATCCCAGGCCCCACGCCGACCTGCGCAACAGCCTCGTACAGCAGCAGGGGTGAAGGCCCCTGCACTGAGCGTCCAGCACAGTGCCATCTGAGGTCGCCAGATCTGCTCGCGGTGGGGGGGCGTCGGCCCAGGTCACAGATGGAGAAAAGGTGGCTGCAGGAGGAGACCGGCATGGCCAACATCACAGGTGCATGAAGACTGAGGCTGAAGCTCAGTCTTGGGGACACTGGCCGGTGCTTCAGGCACTGGGCCTCTTCCTGCTGTAACACATGAGGCACGTGGCTGCACTGTGTGTGGGCTCCGGGTTCTCAGGCACTGTCGGCGGCAGCTCAAGGAATGTGGTGCCTACAGTTTCCAGCAGGTGCCCGTGACAAAACTTAACACCAATTAACTAGTGACCTTTCTACACACGTGTGTATGTGCTCAGAAAGTGAGGCACACACACTACACACAATCACTCAGACACAGGCTCACACAACACACACCACACCACAGTTGCATCTCAGCAGAACGTGGCTGTGCAGGGCCTGTGCCTGCTGCTGAAGGCGATGAGGCCCCAGCCTCCAAGTCAAGTACAAACCTTCCCACATATGAGGAAGGAGAGACCTGGGGTGAATTCCACATAGTTTGCCTAAAAAACAGACACCCCAAGCAAGTTGGCTTTAACCGCATTGACTCTGGCAAGCTGAACACAGGCTGGGTGTCTGGGTCAGGTGTCTGAAGCACCCGGAGAGCCCGGGACAAGGACAGCATTCTCCTGGGGATGTCTCTCAGGACCTGCTACTCAGACAACCAAGACAAGACATGCCCAGGACAGCTGCAGCCCCCCAGGAGAGCGTGGGAGGTGCAAGAGGGAGCTGTGGGGCCAGGGACGTGGCTGTGATGAGTGAGCATGACTCCGTGATGACTGTGTGTGTGACTCCCTGGTGAGTGCGCGTGACTCCGTGATGACTGTGTGACTCCATGGTGAGTGCACGTGGCTCTGGGATGAGTGTGTGACTCTGTGATGACTGCGCATGGCTCTGTGATGACTGCATATGACTGTGATGAGTATGTGTGACTCTGATGAGTACACGTGGCTCTGTGATGACTGCACGTGACTCTGTGATGAGTGTGTGTGTCTCTGTGATGAGTGTGTGTGACTGTGATGACTGCGTGTGACTGTGATGAGTGTGTGACTTTGTGATGACTGCACATGGCTCTATGACTGCATGTGACTCTGATGAGTGCACATGGCTCTGTGATGAGTGTGTGTGACTGTGATGAGTGTGACTGAATGTGCGTGACTCTGTGATGAGTGCGTGTGACTCTGTGATGACTGCACATGATGTGCTGGTTGGCGGGTGTCCCTGGGGGAAGGAGTGGCAGGACCTCCTGGGGATGGGGCACAGAGAGGCCAATTCCATGGATAATGGATGCTTCGCCTGCTTCCAAAGGGGCGGCAGGCAGTTCAGGTATAAGTTCTTAGCTTCATAAAAACCAAGGCTGAGAAACAAATAATCCAGGGGAAGGCAGGCAGAAAAATGGTGCCATGTATTTGGTAATTTACTATAATCTGGCGCATTCTGGGTGGGAGAAGCTAAGCAGGTGAGCACAAAATCTGAGAGTGAGATTCCTGGCTCAGGACGAGAGAAATGCATGATGCAGAAAGTGACTCTATCTGGTGGCAGGAACCACGGGGCTCACCAGGAACCACGGGGCCTACCGGGAACCACGGGGACCACCGGGAACCACGGGGCTCACCGGGAACCACGGGGCCCAAACCATGGGGCTCACTAGGCAGGAACACCGACTTCTCTCCTGGCCTTAAGCCCCAGGATGCTTTCAGCTGTGTCCCAGCTGAGAGACTTGGAGGAGCCTGCTCAGCAGCTTTGGGTGAGTTTTCCCGAGTTTCTTACCTTGCACCCCTCATGAAAACCTAGGATGGAAGATCATAGGAGAGTCCTGTAAGGCTGAGCGAAAACCCATCCCAAAATGCAACAGGCATTGCTCTGCAGTGAGCCGGGACGCGATTCCAGAATATGGGCCTCCAGAGCAGCTGTGCTCAAGCGGCCACCTGACCAAGTCAGAGCCGAGTCTCAGGTGAGTACTGAAAGGCCCCGTAAGAACAGGCTACGGCCAGAAACACAGAGGCCAGAGGGGCAGATGGAGCCGGAGACCGGGGGTGGGCAGGGGCTGCTGCGGCCACACGGCCCTCACAGCTCAGATCCACGTGCTCAAGGTCTGTGTTTCACAGCCAGAGGATGATGAGCTGAGTCATTTTCACGGAACTGACGCTCAGAACTATATTCATTTTCAGAAGAATAAAGTCAAAACTCCATGAAGACCTTCAAAAAATGACATATTCTGGATTTAATTACAGGTAAAAGAAATCTTACTTCTATTAAAAGAGGAGAAATTGCATATTTAAAATGGAAATTATCCCAGAGCATGGGAATGGCACTGTCTTCTGTGTTATTTTAGAATAAGAAATTATGTGGCCATTCAGTTCTTAGAGAAAGTGTTTTTTAAAAGGGAAAAGGTGGCTGGGCAGGCGGCGCGCAGGCGAGTGTCGTTCAGGGAGAGACCCCGCTCCGGCTCTTTCACCTCGAGCGGGGAAGGGCTTTCCTCCCTCGGATGTGAAGTCGTATGTTTACACTTGTTTCCTCTGGAAATCACACAGTAATGCTGCTTTGTTTCTCTAGCAAGGAATCGCTGTGAGCTTGGGGGTCTTGAGGCTTGGCGGCATTGTACAACAGTGAGACTCCATCAGCAAGAGGGTGGGTCCCCCTGTCTCCCTGTGTGTTCCCTACCACCAGCTGGGGATGGCACCTTCCATGAGGTGGATGAGTCCCCTCCATCCAAGGTCTTCTGTACAAACGGCCACCCTTCTGACTCCAAGATGAAAGGAGGCTGTAAACATGGGCCCTACCCCATGGGCTGCCAGGCTCACGGCAGGGCAACAAGCACACCGCGCTACGGGGCAGCTGCGTCAGGCTCTCTCTGGAGGTTTTGCCACAGAATGCGTTGTGAGTTGTGCTGCTTCCTTCCAAAGCCTTCAGCCATCTCCCAGCTCTTCGGTACGGAAGGGCTCGGAGTGCTCAAAGGAACACAGACTTTAAACCTCGCTTCACACGACAGTTACAAAACTCCACGGAGAAATTCCAAAACCAGGTGCTGTGGAGACACCAAAAGCAGTTTTCCCTACAGGAGAACGGTAACGCTGAGATCAGCTTTAGAAGACACACACCTCATCTGAGTTGCGGCGACTCTCACCTGGCTACGTCCTTACCCAGATTTTACACTTTATGGGAAAATTAATAATGTCAAGCAGACGGCAAGGCTGGCAGGCAAGTCTGACCTCAGGACGTGGCACAAAGGGCTGGTCCTCGAGACGTGAGCACATCCCTGGGACATAAGGGGGGGCTGAGGGCTCTGCAGCTAGAGACCCTGAAGTCACATCCCTCGAGGGGCCCCAGGCCTGACAAGCAGGAAATAAAGACAAAATATTAAGCAGATTTTCAATCACCTTCCTTCATTATCAGCAAATCCCGAAAAATCAGAGTAGGGAGTAGTTACAGTTATAGGTTGAAAGCTTAGAGTTGGGGAAAAAACAGGATATTTCTTCCTATTTTCCTGAAATTTATCTTCTTCCACCCAGCTGCTCAGTGGCCTCTCCCAGTGCCGCAGTCACAGGAGGGGTGAGGTGTGTGAGGGGGTGGAGGCAAAGGCAGAACTGGGATGCAATTCTCGTGTCCCCGTACATGATAATGCTCTTGCAGTGCTTCTCAGGGAAGCCTCCTCCTGCACCCAGGGTGTCTCCTGATGCAGAAGTGACATTTCCGATGCCAGCAGTCCTCTACCTTCCCTGCCGCCACTCGGCCTGCAGGCGTCTCCTGGGTGTCTCCTGTGGAGGAGCTCCCAGCAGGCAGGGGGCGGGGGTTGTCTTCAGGAGCTCTGGGGCTGCAGCTGTGAGTGGTCCCCGGGGGCTGCTCCTAATGGCTTATGGGCCTCACCTCCAGGGCATGCTCTGAACCTCTGGGTGGGGCCCAAGAGTCTGCATTTTTAACAACCTCCAGCTGCTGCTCAGGGCCCCTCTTGGAGAAGCCCTGTCCTACAACCTTGAGGAAAGCCATGTGTAGTAGGCTGGAGAGTGAACGTGTGAGGCTTTGTGGGCCGGGCAACCTCCACCATGACCTTCAGCTCTGCCCGTGGGGAAAGCAGCCAGGGACAAGGCGGGAAGGAGTGAGTGAGCGTGGTTCCCACCAGCACCTCCTTCCCAGAGCAGCATCCTGGGTCTGGCCGGGCCACAGTGTGCTTAGAATCTGGCGCGGCGGCGGCACTGGGGAGACAGGCTGGGGTCTGAGGACAGCCGCCGAGGCTCCTCCTGTGGGGTGCGTGGACCTTGCAGCTGGGAGGTGGCAGGACTGGGTGTGGGGAAAGGAGGGAGGAAGGCAGGCACCCTGGGCTGGAGGAGAGCTGGGGGCCAGGGTGTGCGCCCAGGCCGTCCAGTCCCCAGGGGAGAGCGGCCCGTGCCAGAGCCCTTGACTGAGCAGGGCAGGCTGGAGTGTGGGGACTCCTGAGCAGGGCAGGCTGGAGTGTGGGGACTCCATCCCTCGCTGTCCCCGTCACTCCTTCAACAGGAAGCAGAAAGCCAAGACATGATGCACGTGACTGCCGTGGGGCCCGCCGGGCACTGAGCTCACTCTCCCCATGGGGTGCTCATGCTCAAGGCAGCCAAGGGTATGGTGCAGAGCATAGGAGGCCCAGGCCCAGCACCTCTGCCACGCCTCCCACACCAGGGCATCTCCCACGCCAGGGCAGCTCCCACGCCAGGGCAGCTCCCATGCCAGGGCAGCTC